TCACACAATTGACTTTCCATTGCAGTAGAGGATCTTTATCTTGACATCTCTTTTAAGTGAGTGCATATATGACCAAATCTCTGTTGGGGTTTGTCTTTGACCCTGTACCACAAAATCAAATGGGGAGAACATCTAAGTTTTATAAGATTAAGCACAAGTGGTTAAGGGGTTGTACCTCAAGAGAAATACTTCATGTTTACTCCTTAATTCTGTTATCAAATTATGAAATTGTTATGCAATGGGTGTATAACTTGGGCTTTATAGATTTATTTTTTCCTTGCATATGGCTTTCTTATTCCACTGTTTACTATCTCCAACTCAGGGCTTAGAGAATGGTACAAGAGAATTGGAACCAAGAAATGCCTTGGCATCAGTTTGGATTTCCTGTGCAAACTCCCTCTAGTTTGTTTGGATGGAATCACCTCTATCATTCTCTTAAAATTAATTAACCAAAATCCTCAGGAAGCATATACAGAATATTATTATAAGACCTGTGTAAAACTGCTATGTGAGTATCTTGGCTATTTCTCTGAATAGTGGATAAAGTTTCAGAAGCTTCTGCAGATAGTAGAGCTGAAAGACTATTTTCAAAATGAATGTTTATGTTCTGCAGAAACTCACATAAATGGATTAGGATTTAATCTGCTTCTAAACCTCTGTCAACAGTAACCATAATAAAGGTTATTTTGCCTGTTTTGTAATATATGAAAATTTGCTAGGTTATCAGCAGTCATCTGTTGCAGAATATTGCTACAGATTATCTATTTCACCTTTAGCCTATCAGCATACATGTGATTGTACTTCAAGCAATATTATTGTCAGATAATAACAATATAGACAATTGTTTGCTGCAGTTTTAGGTAACAATGTAACTGAAGTGCCCTACTTTGTTTAGAAGCAAAAATGTTTAAGAGCTGGTCTAGACCTAGAAATGAGACTATCTGTTGGTCAGATATTTTAACTTTAAAATAAATTACCAGGTAATAGATCAACAATTAAACAATGAAAAGTGTTAACTGAAATTTTAGTTGTGGCTATGGCTTCTATTTGTCCTTTCTTCTGCGTACAAGAGTACAGAATGGGATTCCAATTTTGAAGTGCCTTTTTCTTTCATTGTCTTGAAATGTTTGTAATCTACTGCTTTCAGTGTTGCATGCTTTTGTAGTTTTTTTTCCTTTGTCTTTTTTTATTGGTACCTGTGCTATTGGAGGTCAAATGAATGAGTTTGTGTGTGTACGTGCACAGTTTTAGGTGCTTATTTTGCATTGACAGAATTGGTAGGTACGAAACTTATAGCTGATAGCGTTGAGCTACTGTATAAGTATCCTTGTACCTAAAAGGGATTTACACACATGCTTACCTTAAACAAGAAATAGCTTTAGTGTTGCAACATTTTAAAATATATTAAAGATTTTAAGTTCAGTGGGGATACATATGTATAATTTAACACTGTTCAGTAAGACATGTAAATTCTGAGTTTAGATGTGTGGAAAACATGAATTTCTGTCATTATATAGTCACAGGCATGTCTATAAAGCTATGCCAAATGATAATATTTGCATAAATATTTATATAAATATGCTATACTTGCATAGCATTTGTAGGGGGTTTATATCTAACTTAATTTACCATTTCACAATGAGACTGAGTTGAAGCAACAGCTATGTGCTTCAAAAACAGAAACTCTCATTCCTTTTGAGTTCCTCAAGTTGAGTTTTAGTGGTGTAAAGACTATGCTGTTGCCTTTTACATGGAAATCAATATGCATATGAAGTGAATATGGTACCTTTTGAGATTCAGCATAGCTTATATGTTTCTAAAGGAGATGCTGCTCCATGAGCAAATAGGGGAAAAATTGATAACAGGGTTTCTCTGATAGTTGGAAGGATTTTTCCTGTGTTTTTACTAAGAAATGCTGAGATTAGCACAGGTCTGGCTTTGTCTAATGCTCTGTAGTTTTATGCAGTCCAGAATAGTATGACCATGACTGTTTAATTTTGTTGTTTGTTATTGTTTTTAATAGTGAACATGTGGCTTTTCGTTTAAATTTGGTAGGGGCTAGCAGGTGAATTAGGAAAAATTAATGTATATTTCTAGTTTATGTTATTTTGAGCTAAAACAATAGTAATGGAATAACCTTGTAAAATTAAAGGTGGGATTTCACAGAGCAGGAGGACAGTTACAGAAAAAGGAATGATGTATAATACTTAATGTTTCTTCATATGGGGACATGCATGTGGAATTAAACTCATGGTAATTGTCAGTGTATTCCCTTAAGCACCAGATTTTGCATGTGATTTTTGAATGGATCAATCTCCTGCACCAATGTGATGACTATCTGGTTGGTTCATTCTACTATTTTATTTATGCTTTTTGCCTGGTTCGCCAGAATGCAGTACCCTGCCCATTGGTACAGTAAATGCACTCTGAAATATCTATTAAGGTATGGTCAAAGGATAATTTATTGTCAGACAGAAAAATAGGTCATCAGTAATGTCATTTGATGATCAACCCCCCAAATTTAATAAAACACCTCACCAGCATGCATTCTGCACAGTGTTTGATGTTTTATTAGGACTACAGTACCTTACAGTACCTAGCTATAGTGGGAGTGTAATTACTGAGCTGTCAGGGTGATAAGTGGGATTAATGGCAGCCTGGTGCACTTTAGTCTGCAGAGTGCTCAGAGAATTGGAAGATGGTATTATTATAAGAGAAAGTCTGGACTGGCATATTCATGGCACCCTCCCCTCCTCCCCGGAGTTCCCATTCAAGTTTGCGTTACTCGCCCTCCCAATAGCTGACATTTTCAACAGCTGTTATTTGTGAAGCAGCTCAAAAATCAAAAGAGGAAATAATTTGGTAAAGATGCTTGCTAGCCACAACAGGTAGTCTGCATGCTGCTTATCCTGCTAGGTGTCATTCTAGTCAGTTTTGACATGACATTGTTCTATATATAATCCACAGAAAAGTATTTAGTTAAGTGCAGTTCTTTTGGTCTTGTATACAGGACTGTTGTATTTTAAAGGAAACCACATACAGGAAAGTGAAGAACAAAAAGTCATAATGGAATCAGTGCCTTTTTTCAGTGCATGATATTCCACTTCTGTTATTTCCTTACAGCCTACACAGGCAAAATGATCATCCCAGCCCTCATAGTGCTGCATTTTGTCTAGTGTATCTCTTTTTTCTTTTTTTTTTTTTTCCTGGCTTCTAGTACTAAAACTTTGCTGTCTTTTAACCTTTTTTAGAATGCTAAGAGCATCCTCTTGACTCATACTCTGGCCACATCAACCCTTTGAGGTCACCACCAGGCCTGATTTTGCAATGTTAACACGTCTATAACATGTACCTGTCAGTGGGTGGTGCTGGGCAGTGGTATGTTTAACTTCCACAGCTAAACCTGCTGGTGATCTTCTGCCAGAGCCTTTTAACATCCTGAACTGGTAACAGACGATGTTGTTGAACCTGGATTAGGCTTTATCAGATTTCCCAGCTTTTATAGCATATGAGACCTATTTTCTTTTAAAGATCCTCTGGGATCTTTTCCCCATGACTAGATTGGTGAGAAGACCCAAACAGCTGCTACCACATGTGCCTTCAAATTTTGCTGGTGCCATAGTTTCTGCAATACTCAGCTGGATGATAATGAATAGGAAAATGAAAGACTAATTAGTCCTTTACTTAACTGTCCTTACCTTCTCTCTTATTCCACTCTTAATTAAAAAAAAAAAGAAAACAAAAGCAGTGTGTCTGATTGTCAGAGTCAGACCAGTTTTTCAGTGCAGACATTTCAGCCATTTCATTCTTTTTACTATGCTCTTCATATCTTTGTGCATGTTGTCTGTAGACCTCTTGCAGCTTTTCTGTGTTTGAACATATTATGCCCCAGCTAGCTGCAGTATTACCTATCACTAAGTAATAATAATTAAGGTGGACTTGTGGAACTTGCATAAGTAGTAGTGCTCAGATAATACATATTAAAAAAAATTAAAAAATCCTAAGTTTCACAGATTGTTAAAACCACAATTTACATAAATTCTCTATGTTAGTAAAAGACTATTGAAAGAGCATCTGAAATAATGAATTCTGAGTTAATTAGTAGTGTGGCATTTGACCTATGATAATCATTGATATGTAAAACTGAAAGTGTGTACAAATACCTTTGTGTTTAATAGCTGAGGAATAAACTGTTTCTCTAACTTTTACCTTCTCTTGTTAGGCTTGCTTACTGCAAATGGCATAGACTACCCTGAGGACTTAGTCCTTAGATGGGACTTGTGCAAGGAATGAGACTTGTACATCCTAATGGATGATTATGCAGGAACAGGCAACAAATCTTTGCTACTTAGTATGTTTGAATATGTAGTTAGGTTTTGTCATTAGGTATGACAAGAAGAGGGTCTCAGGGATTTCAGCTGGGAGTATGAATAAGACCACTGAATTCGTTTCAGAGGTCACAGACGTATCACAGGAAACCTGTAGAAAAGTGGCTTTAAAATTTATCATCCATTCTTATTCAGCACATACAGTTAAAAAGTAATTCCTTTCTCTGTGGAAATACTGTTGCTTTTATATGTCTAATTGTCCAACATACAGAATTTCATACACAATGACACTTTGAGAACTGTTAATAAATTTAGATTCACAGCTCAGGTGTTTCTCAAATAGAAAAATGAAATGATCAGAAGCTCAGCAATCTTGGATTCCAGAGAAAAAATTACTTCTATGCGATTAGACATATAGTTAGACGTGTAGTCCGTATGGTTGTAACTGCACCTGCCTGCCTTCCTTTGTAAAATGGAGTCAGACCTAACCAGTGTTGAATGCAAGTCAATAATGATCATGTAGTGTTTTGAGGTTTTAAATAGAAATTTTATGAAAATACTCCATATTATGCCTTTGTGGCTTATCTTCCACCGTACTAAGTTGAAAATCTTATGCTACTGGCAGCATTTGTATTCCATAGCTTCTTGACACATTTTGTTTTATTCCTGTAGATGCTTGAAGTGTGCAGATGCCCCCTGTCAGAAGAGTTGCCCAACTAATCTGGACATCAAGTCATTCATCACAAGTATTGCAAACAAGGTAAACTCAGGCTTGTGGTAGTGCGTGGAAGCAGGTAACAGCAGCTACTTGCAGTTCTGTTATTGAGATTGCATTTCAAGATTCATCTTTGTGAAGTCTTAAATAAATCAGTATTTACAACAGATGCTTTAAAGTTCAACAAAAATAATAATTTTAAATTATTTTTGCTGCTGTTCTGTGCTTGCAAAGATAGTGCATAGTGCACATCTATTTTTTCCTGTCACTTTTTCTGTGAAGATTTTAGTTTTGATGGTTTTCAAATGTAATGATGTTCAGAAAAACAGCACTATAATGTCATTATTTAACATTGAGGTATTACAGTTACAAACTTTTCATTAAAGGTTTGGGTTTTTTTTTTTTGTATTAGTTATTATAGATTAAATTTTCCTTGGGCATGAAAGTGATCATGTCAAGGGATATTTTCTTGTACTTTATAGATTCTCTGGATATGGGGAATGTAGTCAGTCACTTAGATTATTAAGAAAATACTGCAGGAATAAATGAAATGTCCTGTTTGGAGGTACTGTACCTTTTCCTTTCTTAATAGTCTATTATGCTATAATTGTAATGAAATATGAAAAATATTATTCTGATTTGTGGTTTACAAATTACTTTTAACAGTCAGAAATAGGAATAAAGATGACTGTAAAGTTGATATGGCAAGATTAATTAGCCGGTCTGGGATAGCGTAAAGATGACTGGCTATTGATTGCCCCATACCTTTTAAAACTTCCTTCACATCTGTGGAGTCATTAAGTGCCATGTGATTTATTTGTCTGTATGAGCCCAACTAGACTCATAATCTACTGAGGGTGCTAAAAAGGTTTTGTGACTGCATTTGCTGCTCTAAGAAGTCTCACTGTTAAATGGATCTGAAAGGGACAGTGATGGTAGAGCTGGAGCGAAGTGGGCAGCAGCAGCACTGCTGTGTGTTAACAGCCACGTTGCTTTTACTGCACTGTGTGTTGTATGGAGGAGTCACCAGTAAATTCTGCACCTTAACAAGAAACGTTAGGATAAGAGAAGATATTACGATACACGTATCAATTATGACTGTGTGTTGATGTGGTTTAAAATAATCAACATTGTGCCCAGTATCTGCTTATAGACAGTTTTCTTACATAATCTGTACCCTGTCACTGCAGCATTTATTTTCATGAATGTAGGCATCTGTTTGCCACCATAGCATAACATGTGACATATTGCTGCTTATTACCTCTTCTAGGCCTGGTGAAACAGGCAAACTGAACAGAGAAGGTACAAGGCAATAATGAAACTGCTAGTCTCCATCTTATTGCCGTGCTGTAGTTTGTTTAGGAAACCTGAAGCAAATTTTATGGAAGTATTTTACCAGAGTGGTCTTTTCTTATTAAGGATTAGTTATGCAAATTGCTTTGGGGATGATAGAGTGATGTGTTTTGAGGAAAGAAAAAGGACCTGACTATCAAAACATAAAAGCTGGGAATATGGAACCACAGAAAATGGAATCAAGACTGCAACACAATGAAGAACTAACACTAGCAGCATCCTGGAACAACAAATGTAGTGGGTCTCTTAGACTCTGATAGCCTCAGAAATGCAATGACCCTTTGTGACTTGGCGGAAAGGATAAGTAATTTTAACAGCCGATTCATTCTGAATTCCACGAATCTATTACGGAGCAGAGAAAATCAAGGTGCGGTGACTGCAGAGCTTTGAAAGTTCTATTCTAGCAAAGGTATACTGGAATAAAGGTAGGAAACTGCCTCAAAGGTGTGAAGTCTTTGCCCTGCTGAAGCCAATGAGTACACCTGTGGATTTTAATAGGGCTGGATTTAGTGTGTCAGGTGGTCAGTGAGGTGGATAAAAGCTGTTTGAGCTGTCTGATAAGAAGCTGCAGATGCTGGGTAAGATGCTGGCTTTGCCCCGAGTAGGTTGCCTGATCTCTTGCTGTTTTATCAGGAAATCCTGCTTTAGAAGAGAATCTCTCAGGAGATTTAATATTCTTCATGGAAAAAACTAAGTATCTTAGATTACTGAAATGTACTTAGAGCCTTTCTTTTTGGACCCTATCCCTATCTATATGTAGCTTCTGTATCCACTCTGAAACTAGTTTTCATAAACGGTATACAGTGCTTTTACCTCATGTTGATGCCTGATAACTGCAGAGACAGCAGGAAACATTCATACATAGGAAGTGCTAAAAAGTCAGGTAGTCTGATGATGGTCAGTTTTAAGATGTTAGGATGGGCATTTGCATGCCTAAAATCAGTGCTGCTTCTGTGAAATACAGTTTGCATACAGTTTACATAGATGTGAGTTTACATACAATCTTACCCTTCATTTTTTCTCCTTACCCCATTGGAAGAAATCTAATATAGCATGGTTATGGAAGCATTTCTCTGCACAGCTCTAATGCTGACTCTAGAAACAAAGAAAGAGAAAAACAAACCAACTCAAAAAAAAAAAAAATAGAAGTGAGAAAAAAACCACAACCAGATATGCTTAACAAATTGCTGAAGCCATGGACTGAGAAACAAGGCTGGGAAGTCTTGCATATTTGTGGCCTCCATGCCAATGGCTGTGCCTCACAGTGCATAGAGGGAACCAAGCCTTGCCTTGATGGCTGCAGTCTGCTGGGCTTAATTTTCCTTTCAATGAATGCATTTCTGGTGCCTTTGCTAGAAAATATTTCCATTTGAACTATGTTCTTCAGAAAAATTAACAGTAAATTCTTCTTGTTTCTTTTATTAATAGGATTTTGTTTCTAGATGTAGTTATGTACTACTGTTTTGATGCTACTGCACTTAGAAACTCCTTGCTTTCTAACAAGCAAGCTATAGATAGAAGGTGGAAGCTGAGAGAAAGGTGCTGACAGTTGAAATGATTCACCAGAAGTGGTGACCCTGACATGGTCTGTGTGAGAGCCCACTACCATGCCTGCAGTCCTCTCCCCACTTTCATTCTGGGGCTGTGGTGGTTGCACCATATACTTTTAGATCGGATAGAATACAACAATGGTGTGCTTTTGAAAACCACACTAGATTTCTAACTTAACATTTTCTAAATTCTTTTAATGGAACCAGTAAGTAATTTTTCACATTATTATACATTTTTCTAAGTTTTTTTTCTAATAATCATTCAGATATCACTCAGCAATCTGCTTGCTGAATATTTGTATATTGTTGTCATAAAAGTATTTACTTCACACATTCAAGGATATTTTATGTTGTTGAAAATACTTTTCAAAATGGTAAGTATTCTTTGTTCATTTCAATTTGTAAATAAACTTGCTTTTTTAATCCAAAAGCTTATAAATATATCTGGTAGCTTCTATACAAAATAAATAGGTGAAGCACAGAAGCATTCATGTGTTCCTATGAGGACAAGCTGATGAAGCTTGGGTTGTTCAGCCTGGAGAAAGCTCCTGGGAGACCTCATTGTGGCCTTCCACTGTCTGAAGGGGGCCTACAAGAAAGCTGAGGAGGGACTTTTGGCAAGGGCTTGTAGTGATAGGATGAGTTGTAACGGCTTTAACTGGAAGAGGGTCAATTTAGATTAGAAATTAGGAAGAAGTTCTTCACTGTGAAGGTGGTGAGACACTGGAATAGGTTGCCTGGGGAAGCTGTGGATGCTCTGTCATTGGATGTGTTCAAGACTAGATTGGATGTGGCTTTGAGCAACCTGGTCTAGTGTGAGATGTCCCTGCCCACGGCAGGGGGCTTGGAACTACATGATCTTTAAGGTCCCATCCAACCTAAGCCATTCTGTGATTCTATAATTTGAAGTCAATAAATCCATGATATTTGGGCATGTTTTCTAGGGTTATTGAGGTCCCTGTTCTGCTTCTGAACCTTTCTTTACTCACTTGAGAAACTCCCTTCATCAGGTTACCTTCTGACTTGTTTAGAGGAGATTCAGTTCAATAAATTCTTTGTCATCATCCCTGTGCAAGCAATAAGCAGTATTGCAGGCAGGTATTTATTTAAACATGATTCATTATTAATATAGAGTATTTAGACAGCAGTGTACTGAAAAAGAATTACTTTGTGAGGTATTTAAGAGTTCTACTGGTATTTAAGAGTTCTATTGTATGTAGTTAGTTTTGTTGGAAAACTGCTACACCAATCATAAAAGGTCAGGGATTCTTGTTCTCTTAAGCCTGAGGCTTTTTAGATATTTACAGGCCATGTACAATGTAGGTGTTCTGGCTGTTCTGCCATTACACCTGAGCTCGGGAGCAGAAGAGGGACAGGGAGGAGGGGTTGGTTTTGGGTTGAGAGGGTAATTGAATTGCCAGACTCAATGAGCCTTGAGCCTCTTTGAGAAGAAGAATGTCACTTATACTGTATTGTGTTAGCTGCTGTGGCTCAGTAGAGTTTAGGCCACAGCTTCCATTCTGTTTTTCCATACAAACTGGATTACAACTCCACTTTATAAAGGTACAATCTATTCTATTGCGTCTTCCCAGTCAGAGTATCTCGGTTGATACAGACAGCTTGCAATTATGTCTCTCAGGGACCAGACTTCAAATTCACTATGCACACATTACTACTTTTGTTTCTAAACAGCAGAAGATGGCAAACAAGCATTCTGACTTCTAGCTGTCCTTTCTTTAATAAAATCTTCACATTTAACTTTGCAAAGTGCATAGTCTTTATTTTTTAATAGTCAAGTGTCATCTTAATTATTTCTTTCTTTATAAAGAAAAAAAAATAACCTATCAAACAACATATTGTTCAGCTGCCGAAGGGGAAAGCTTTGCTATTCTTACACCTGAATGAGTACCACGAGTGATTTTAGGATTTTCTGTCCTACTTTCCCTATGTTGATGCATTAAAACAAGCAGGACATGGCAAAACGGGAATTGGAGCGTCCATTATCCTTTAGGACTCGCATAAGCAAGTATTGTACAAAACCAGAAAATCCTCCAGCTTCCCAGAAGCAGCTCAGCCTCAACACTTGCAGCCTGTCTAGCTTTCCTCCATTAAGCAGAAATGTATGCCAGAGGAAGCTGCCCA